ACTCAAAATAATAATAATAATAATAATAATAATAATAATAATAATAATAATAAATTAAAAAGAGTACTCTCTTACATTGAGAATTTGCTGTGCAGATCTGGTATGATTAATATCAGCTGACACATTTTCCAAGTCAGAAACTCCTTAGGGTGCACAATACAGAGCCCCAATTTAATTTTAATATCTTTGCTAATGAGGTGGATTTTGATGAGTAAATATCAGTAGTTGGTAACTATCTGATAGTTAGGCTTGCACTGGGCAGTATTCCCACCTACTGCCACCTACAAAATGCTCTATAAACCTAACTGACCATGAGGCTAACAGCATTTGAAACAGTACTGGGAATCTGGGTAGTTTAGTAAGTAAGTAGAAGAAACTGGTTTCAAGTTTCAGACATGTGGACCTTTACAACTTTGTTATTATTTTAATTTTCATGTTGAGATAATCAGCCAAAACTGACCATCTGTGAGTAGTCTTCAAAGTACCTGGTAGAGTGGCCAAGCACCCCTGCTTAACTGGGGCTGGATGTAAGACTTTCAGGACTAAAATGGGAACATTTCAGGCAAACATTTGTTCAGGTAAACAATGAACAAAAAAAAAAATCTAGGTTCCAAAGATGTGGAAACGAAGCAAATTAGAATGAATATGGGAGAGGAAATAATAGTAATACTAAGAGTTGCAAGTGGCAGGAATGAAAACTAATAGGTCTGAACCATAGTACAGCTTGACTGGGAAACAGAATTGAGGCCTCATAAATGACAATTTCCATGAAACTGAGTATCTTTGAGTAGAAGTTCCCAGGAGTGTAGTCAAAATTATTGTATAGGCACAAAAGGAAATCACCAGACCAAGTGGGAATGCAAAGGAGTACACACGTCAGTCTCCCAAGAGGAAAGAGTACCTTTGTTAGAATTTGTTCTGATTAGAGAAACAGGAAAAAAGATTTCTGTTCTGATGAAGGATCATGTTAGCTACTGTAGCTACAACCCATTCATAGAGATGATAAAATATTTAATAATTTTGAAAGTAAGAAGCAGTAAGGGAATTATTTTGCCAACAAGAAGCATCTTAATATTTATGTCGATGAATTTTAAAGATATTTCTCCATCTTGTCAGTTTTATAACAAGATTTCCACACCAGAATTACAGAGTGAGTTTCCTTCTGCCCAGAGCTGTAGAGATTACATTATTACTTATTCAGAAAAAGAATCCGTTTTAGTTAACAGTCTCCCTTTCCAGACATATTTCTAGACTCATTGAAACCTTTTCCTATAGCAAAATTAACTTGAGTCAATGTTATTTGGCCCCAGGATGACTACATTAAACAAAATATATTCAATCACACTCAATCTGTTACATTAGTTCTCTGGCTTGGCTGGTTTTCTTTTCTTCCTCTGCTCACGGTCCTCACACCACTAGACTTGAGAGGTTCATTCTGACCAAGGTAAACATGATGTACTAAATCAGAGAGGAGAGGAAGGGGAGAATGGAGAAGGGCCTCTGCTGTTTGCATGAGTGATAAGTAACTCTCATGCATGGCGTTTCTGTAGGACTACCGTGTGAACATTTTTTTGAGACAACAGTGGAATGACTCAAGGCTGGCATACAGCGAGTACCCTGATGATTCTCTGGATTTGGACCCATCTATGCTGGACTCCATTTGGAAACCAGATCTATTCTTTGCCAACGAGAAGGGAGCCAACTTCCACGACGTCACTACTGACAACAAATTGCTGCGGATCTCAAAGAATGGCAAAGTGCTCTACAGTATCAGGTAAGCTTCCATTGGCCAGTCCTGCTACATTTCCATTCCTCTGTTGGGCTAGAGCTGTTGGCTGGAGATGAAGATTTGACTTTGATTTTGTAGAATTGGTGGAGAGATGCAGAGGTTCCCTGGGTTTCAAAAGGGGAATTTGCCATAAATACAAGTATTGTTTCCTAAAGGAAGTATAAGCCCCTCAACTGAATTATCATTGAGCCTAATGAACAATTTCTCATTTCAAATAGCATTCTGCAGCATTTAACTCCTTGTCCTCCCAAGAGGTAAAAGCTCAGCATGATCATTTCCAGCATTCTCTGGGTTAAATGAGTGGAGATCTGGTTCCACTTCCAAGTTGTCTTCTACCTAATCATGTGACCTGGAGCTTTCAGCTTTCCTTTTGGTCTTGGGCTTTGACTTGAGACAGGCGATTACCCATTTTTTACTCTTTTATTCAAATGTGATTATCTTCAGAATCTTTACCACTTCAGGCTCAAAATAATCTCTCCCTTTTCGGATAATAATACTAGTTTCTCTGAGGCCCTTGAAGGCTTATTTCTTCCTACCTTGTATTTTTTACTACCCACTAGGAGCTCTGGTGACCTAGCGGGTAGCGAATTGCACTGCAAACCCAAGGCAGGTAGTTTGAATTCACCATTCACTCCATGGGAGAAAGATGGGCAATCTCCTCTTGTGACGTTTACAGCCTCTGAAAACCCAGTAAGGGGTCAGCTGTAAGTCAGTTCTGGCTCCTTGGCCATGAGGTGGAGATGAGTTTGATTTTTGAGGGGTTTTTCAATTTATATAATTTTTTTTTGTACTCAGGAGTACAGCATAAGGAAACATATTTCTGAAAACTGATTTTCAGTATCAGACATATCTAGAATCAAAGCCAACCTCTGCCACTTACTACATTACTTAACCTATAACCCAATTATTGTTGTTTTTGTCATCATGTGGGAATTAACCTATAACTGACTTTACAGCAGTTTTTGAGAGGCAGTTAATTACACAGGAGGAGACTGCCATGGAGCATATGGTGGATTTGAACCACCTGTCTTTATAATCCTGGGTTTCCCTAATTGCAAAACCATATCCAAAGGTGTTCTAAGGGAACACCATATCTAATAGGTAAGAATAAATAACGTAGAGCAAAAGTCAGGAAACATTTTATGTAAAAGATCAGAGGTTGTTATTGTCGAGTACAACTCAAAGCGACCCTATGAACAAGAGATCTAAACACTGTCCTATATACTGTCCCATCTTCACACTTCCTGACACACTAGGGCCCATTGCAGCAGTCACCGTGTCAATTCATCTGGTCAAGGGTCTTCCTTTCCTTTGTTGACCTTCCACCCTTCCCAGCATCATATCCCTCTCCAAGGAATAGCTTCTCCTAGCAACATGCCCAAAGTATGTAAAATGAAGCCTCATCATCCCTGCCTCCAAAATCACTCTGGCTACACCCTCTCCAAGACATAGCTGTTTGTTCTCTTGGCCGTCCATGGGATGCACAGTGCTTTTCTCCGATGCCACAGGCTCAAAGGCATCAATTCTTTTTCCGTCATCCTTATTCACTGTCCAGCTCTCACTCTGTCATAACTGTTTGATTCTGTTTGTGGAATGTTAAAACCACTAACAGACAGCATGCAAATAACTGAGCATGGTTGTTTTGATACTATTTTGTAAAAACACTGGCATATTCCATTCCAGCTGTTGCTCATAATTTGCTGGACCTTAATATACCCCAGAAGGAGCCCTCATGGTGTTGTATATAACATATCAGGCTGCTAAGTGAAAGGTGAGCAGTTCAACTCCATCAGCAGCTCCACAGGACAAAGATGAGCAGTCTCCTCCCATAAAGATTTACAGCATGGAGGAAATCTGACAGACGGTTGCTATGAGTTGAAATCAACTGGACAGGAGTAGGTCTGGTTTTAACATACTCCAAACAAACTTACAGCTGTTGAGTTGCTTTTTCCTCATGGCAACTCTATAAGAAGGAATAGAATTGCCCTATAGTGTTTCTAAGGGAATAAAACTTTATGTAAGCAGACTGCCTCAATTTTCTTCCACAGAGCATCAGCAGGGTTTGAACTGTTGACTTTTCAGTTTGCAGTCTAACACTTAATCAACTATGCCATTAAAATCCCCCCTTGACTCCTAATATAGAGAATTAGAAAATATTTGCCATAGTATCTGACCCCCAGATACATGCTTAATAAATGATGGCCATCAATATTTTAATGTCAGAGTTCCTTCTAGTAAGCTATCTGATATCAAAGTTTTAACTTCTTTTTAAATTCCTTCCAAGGAGCTGGAGAGTATACACTGTGAGAGATTCTGAGTCCACTGAATAAATAATGGTGTTTTAAAGATCTTTAATAGAATAATGAAATTCTCCCTTTCTTTCCAAAATGAATATCCAAAAATGAGGTGGAAGGGGAGGGGAGAAGGATAGCTAGTTCCTTGAAAATTACATATTCACATGTTTGAAGACTCAATGCCACTACAACCTCATTTCCAAACTCTGTGGACAATTTTGGTCTCTATGGTGTATTCCAATCTAATATCTAGTCATTTCACAGCTTGCTGATGGCTGACAGCCCCATTTTCTTGGGGGGAAAATATTATGCTCGTTTGTAAAAATGTCGGTAAGCCACATCCTTCCTTCACAAAGAACCAGGAACCTGCCTCCCACACCCACTTTAAGGAAACAGAATATTCTGGTGGAGATGCTTTTGTTTGGTGTAAGGTGCAGTATTGGGCATGACCTAAGTTGACATGACCTGATGAAATGGGACATATGTAGAGCATGGTGCTGGGAAGGAGAGTTATAAAAAGCAGTGCAGGGTATCAGCTGCTCCAGCTAACCCTCAGGGCCTGGGGTGGCATTTGCTCTAGTAAATACCTGGCATTGTGCTTGGCTGAAAAGGAAAAAGGGGGGGGGAAGAAGAGAGTCCAAGTTTTTGGCTTTTTACGACAGTTTTTCCATTCTAGAACCGTAGAGACCATAAGGTTCCCAGGCTTTGATCTAGAGGCAATTTTTCTCCCTCTCAAGGGCAGCACATTACAGACCCTAAAATGACCTACTGTTTGGCTTGGCTACCGTTTCTCCTTCAGCAGGCTGGCTTCTATTTTTCCCTTTTAAGGAGTACTCTCTGAAAACAGGGGAAAGATCCTTGGTGAAGGAGAATGGGGCATGCCATTTGTGGAAAAACACAAGCTCTTGATAGTTTGAACTGTAGGAATCTCATTATTTGCCTGGTAGCATTTTCCAATGAGCCAGACAAGGTGCTAGGCCTGAGAGCCAATGCTGAACAGGACCTGGTTTCTGCTCTGGAAAGGCTCTGCTCTAGCAAGGACAGGAAAGTACAAGCTGAGTCAAGTCACAGCAATAAAGTTAGAATGGGGTGGAAGAGGGATTGCCTCATAAACTGCATGGCTTGGGAATTTGGGAGCACTGCCTGATTCGTTTGAGTCATTGCTCTTGAGTTGGAATCCACTCATACATAGCTGAGTCTCCAGGGCTTTTTCAGAGGCATTAAATCTCACAGAAGGAGACTGCTCTTTCTTATTCCATGGAGCAGCAGCTGGTGGATTTGAACGGTCCACTTTTGGGTTGGCTGTGCAAATAGGCAAACCACAGGCCAAGGAATATAAAACCAGCTGCAGGGTAAAGCTACAGTTGCTTATGTCCTAAAGGTATTAAGAAGTCCCTGCTGAAATCCCTTTAGAAAGCAATTTGTCTACACACTGAACTTTACAGTGCAAATACATTTATTTGTCTTCTATAATGAGGTGGGATATTGTGTATTGTGAGTTTTGTTTATTTTGTTCTGAAATTAAAGTATGCAAAATAAAGAAGATGACATTTAAAAAAATACTTTGTTGTGAAAAAGAAATTGTTTTATTGTCAGCCACTGCATTACCTGAATACTTAGTTGTAATTGTTTTTACCATTTTTAAATTAAGATGTTATTTATATACTAAACCACTCTTTTTACAGTATAGCATTCCATTTTTTTAATTGCATGTACAACATTCTATAACCATCCTCACTCTCTAATTGCTGAATTAAACATCCGTTCAACAGCAGGTGGACATATTTGTTGTGTCCACTTGAGGATTTCTGAGCAAGCTTTCCTCCATTCTACGTACACCAATATTTTATAGAGGGTTCACTCCCAGGGAACTTGAGAAACAAGAAGGTGTTTTATCTTAAATGTTCCCTGAGTGGGGCAAGAGGCTTGAGGCCCAGACATAGAAGAGACAAGCGCCATGCACAGTTCTGCAGTGACACACAGCTGGTTTCTGGGACTCACAGGTCCATGGCCACAGAGTCTGTGGAATCTGTCCAACTGTAAACAGTCCAATGATAGAAAGTAGACAGGTTCCGTTCAGTCTGTGGTGAGCGGCCTGTAACTTGACTGTAGTGCATATCCCAGGTCTTGGTCCCTGGATTTCCATTCATTCATTGCCGCAATTTTCTCCCTGCCCACCCCTCCCCACCAGCTTGCTTCCCCCTCCGAAGAGAGAAAAAAGAAAAAAAAAAAACAAAAATTCCTTCATTAGTATACAATTCCCACATCCCTTCCCCCCACCGAGTACACTTCTCTATGCAACCTTAATTCTGGATTCCTGTGCTAACCATAATAATCATATATCACTTCTAATCTGTTCTTTCCCTCATCTGTTTCAATACAATATACATAATTTATCCAGTTTTTTCTGTCATACCCCCACCCTGATGACAGACCCATTCTACAACAGTGGCACCATGCAGTATTTATCCCTTTGTGACTGAGATATTTCACTCAGCATAATGTCCTCCAGGGTCACCCACTTTGAATAATATTGCATGAGTTCCTTGTTTTTCAATGCTGTGTAGTATTCCATTGTGTGGATATACCACAGCTTCTCTATCCATTCGTTTGTTGGTGGGCCCTTAGGCTGCTTCCAACTCTTTGCTATTGTAAACAAAGCTGCAATAAACATGGGTGTGCATATAACTG